CGATCAATTCCTCAGGTTCGAAGAAATGGTTAAGCTGACCAGAATGAGCAAAACTCACCAACTGAAGCTGGTGGTGTGCGTAGAAATTGTGTTCAGGCAAATGGAACACGTGGTTGCTGTGGAAAAAAATAGCCAGTTCTGGATCCCAACCCTGGGAGAGGGGCTTAGTGTGGGAGAGTCTCCTGAGTCTCACGGCACCAATGAAATTACCTGGCACGAGTGAGAAGGAAACATGGAACATGCAACAAACCCGCTTAGGGGTTTATTAGAGGGAGCGTGTACAGGCCTGGGGAAGTCAGTGTGCAGAGAGAGAGAGAGAGAGAGAGAGAGAGAGAGAGAGAGAGAGAGAGAGAGAAAGAGAGAGAGAGAGAGAGAGAAAGCTGAAGATGGTGTGTCCAGCTTTTAAAGGCCACCTAGCACTTGCACACAGGGGAATGACATGGCTGTGTCATACCAGATGTCAGAGCTCACACATGCATGCAAGGGCTCATGCAGCTGCATCACGTGGAGATAATGTAACCATGCTACATATGGGTCACACGGGGTCCTTTATGATTCCCGGGGCCATTAGGCACTTCTACCTGAGAGTTTGTCCACACATGCGTGGCCCTGGAACCCAGAAGTGTCACCCAGCCATGTTGCGTGGCTGAATCATTACAATGGCTACTCATGATGACCTAGCGCAGAGTGGGTACTTGTTCCATCCAGTTATGTTCTCCTGGTAACAGCAACTCACACAGTCAAGCCTAGATGAGAGCTATCAGCCAACATGATTTCTCTTAAGACGATCGTTTCTCTACAATGAATATCCAGTAGAGAAGTACAGAAACAAGCCGAGAGACTTCTACATCCATATTGTCTCAGGAAGAGTTTCCACTGTTAAAGAACTTTTATCAAAAGAAATTAATATTATGCACTACCTTTAAAAATTGATTTTTAAGCCAGGCAATGGTGGTGCATGCCTTTAATCACAGCGCTTGGGAAGCAGAGGCAGATGGGTCTCTGTGAGTTTAAGGCCAGCCTGGTCTACAAGAGCTAGTTCCAGGACAGGCTCTAAAGCCACAGAGAAACCCTGTCTCAAAAAACCAAAAAAAAAATTAATTTTAAGGGACTGGAGAGATAGCTCAATGGTTAAGAGCACTGGCTGCTCTTCCAGAGGACCTGAGTTCAATTACCAGCAACCACACAGTGGCTCACAACCATCATTCTAATGCCCTCTTTTGGTGTACAGGCGTATATGTAGACAGAACACTCATACCTTAAAAGTAAATAAATAGATAATTTTTTAAGAAATTGGATTTTAAAAGGAAATCAAGTAAATGGAGAGGCATTCCGTGTTCATGGATAAGTAGACACAAATTAGTCAGTGTGTCATTTCCTCACAACTTGGTTTCTGGATTCAATGCAACCCTAGTCAAAATCTAGAAGTTTACTTGTGGAATAACAACTGGTCTTAGAGTAATGCACAGAAGCAGGTGAACTTGAAAGGACAGCACTGCATTGAGAGAGAAATGCTAGACAAAGGAACAAAGCAAAGGTTAAAACAGGTCACTTTTCACAAGTGGTGCTAGAACTAGATATCCTCATACCCCAAAAGGAAAACAAATCTAGACACAGGTCTTATACCTTTCACAAAAATTCACTCAAAATGGTTCATATATCAAAATTTAAAACACAATACTATAAATTGTTGTGGAATGAGCCTCTTGTATACTGTAAAGATTTGTCACTCAAAGTGGTGGTATAATAAAGCAATGATTGGCCAAAAGCCAGGCAGGAAGTACAGGTGGAGCCACCAAACTAAGTATGATGGGAAGGAGAAGGGCAAAGTAGAGAGTCACTGGCTAACACAGAGGAACAAGCCATACTGAGCAAAGGTACCAAGACACATGGCTAAACATAGATAAGAATGATGGGTTAATTTAAGTATAAGAATTAGCTAATAACAAGCTTGCACTATTGGCCAAGCATTTATAATTAATTTAAGCCTCTGTGTGTTAATTTGGGAAGCAGCCCAGGTATTTGGAAGCAGTTGGGACAGGAAACAATAAGTCTCCAGAAGTTAAGATAAGATAAGAAATGCTGGATGACCTTGACAGTTTATAAAAAAAAAAGCTGTTTATAAAAACAGCAAAAGCAAATATATGAAGAGCAATGGACATGCTAGTCTTCATCAAAATTAACACTTAAATACAGCGAGAAGAGAGATGGCAGAAAGTATTCTTTTCTGCAGTGCTGGAGATTGAACCCAGGGCTCTGAAATGCTCTACCATGGAGCAGGAGTCTCATCTTAGCTCCATCAAAACCTACACATGATTAGTGATTATTATGGAGAATATACAAATAAATCTTTAACTTTGCTGAGGTGGGGGTGCTGGAGATGGCAAGGAACTCAGAAACTCAATAATAAGTGAACAAACCAAATGGGCTGGGTGGTGGTGGCCCACAACCCTTAATGCCCGCACTTGGGAGGCAGAGGCAGGTGGAACTCTGTGATTCAGAGGCCAGCTTGGTCTACAGAGTGAGTTCCAGGACAACCAAAGCTACACAGAGAAACCCTGTCTCGACAAAACCAAAAATAAAAACAAAAACAAACAAAAACAAAAAAATAAAGAAAAAGAAAACAAACCAAAGACCTTAGCTGATACCTCATCAAAGAGAATGCATATAACTTCTTCCACATTGTAAGACGAAATGTAAATTCGTAACAGTAAGCTGCCATTTGATGCACCTGACATTCCAAACAGTGACAATGACAAATGTCAGCAGCACAGCAGAACGGAGTGGCACTCCAGGCTAGGATGTAAAATGACATGAAAGTCACTTTGGGGGACAATTTGATGACACGTCGAAATCCATATATACTCATCACATGACCCCATGATGGTGAGGCCTGGTTTTTTCCCAAAAGATCTAAAAATGGGTGTACACACAACCCCCCACAGCTTTGCTCACAATCACCAAAACCTGGAAGCAATCTTCAGGGGATGAATTAATAAACTGCAGTATAACCAGACAATGGAATATTATTCAGCACTAAAATAAAAAAGGTCTTGAACATATGTGAAGGAACACTAACTTTACATTATTACTGAAATCGAGAAGCCAATCTGATAGAGCTGGAGAAATAAATACTTCATTTGGTAAAGTGTTCGGTACCCAAGCATGAGAATCTGAGTTCAGATCCCAACATCAATGTGAAAAGCTCTTCCGCCGGCATGGTGGTGTGAGCCTGTAATCTCGGTGTTGAGGATGTGCAGAGGATCCTTGGAGCTCATTAGGTGAATTTCCATAAGTTCCAAACAGTGAGAAACTCTGCATCAAACTCAGGTGAGAACAACACCTAGTTTCAACCTCTGGTCTCTACATGCATCCACACTCACACATGTACATATTCACAAACATGTACACATGAGTAACACACACACACATACACACACACTCCTCACAGGGGGTGAGGAGGATGGGGAAGAAAGTCAGTCTAAATTGGACCTATGCTGTATAATTTTCAACTACTTGGCATACCAGAAAAGGAAAATCTATGAATCCAGCAGAAAGATCTCTGGCTGCCAAGGGCAGGTGAGGTGGGATGGACTACTAGCTGACTAGGGAATACAAGGGATTCTCAGCTCGGTGAAAATGCTTTCAAAAGAGCTGTAATGGTAGATACAAGTCATCAGACATTTGCCCCAATCCAGAGACTATACCGCACTAACAGCAAACTCCAACATAAACTGTGGTTTTGGATGCTCATGATGTGTCAATGTAAGTTCACTGATTGAATCTCTGTCCAAACCTGGCAGGGGATGTAACAACTAACACATCAAAGAAGAGTTCGTAGTAGGGAAGATGTGAGGGAGGAAGTAATACCGTAGATCTTTGATTGACAGAACTTGCAGACAGTGTATTAGGAGAAGCATTCCGGTTGGCCCTCACTGAGGACAGGAAGGGATTCTGTAGGCCTAGTTTCCCAGGAGCAAAGTTTGGAGTAGGGGAGAGATCAAGCTTCAAAGGCCACTGAGTGACCTGCTATCTAAGGCCTTGACTGTCAGGGGAGAGTTTGATTTCCACTCCCCGTTATCATGGGTTTTGTGCATATTCTAACACAAAGGCTTCAAAACAATGGTGGCATTGATTGCTGACAAGGAACATTCACAGGCAAGCAAATACATTCTGTCTGAAGGAATTTTAGTTTTCCAACAACACCACTGGCAGCATTATACTTAACAGATTCCAAAATTTTATACTTGCTGCCATGCGTCTTGATGTTTAGGAAATACGATCCAGAGATTTCCACTCCACTCCTGCTCCACTTCTCCCACGATCATCTCAGTTACCTAGCCATGACAGAGGTAGCCTTTCACACTAACGTCCATACAACCATTCCACCCCTTAACTAAGGAAGAGAAACCTACTGCAGGCAGCAAACTCTAAACACTGCTTCCACTGACATTCCATTAACGGTATTTCCCTTTCCCACTCAACAATGCATTAATATTACTGTATATAATTAGCACCGGATATTTAACCCACATTAATATTTTTTAGACGCCAATTAACAAGAGCAACACAAACAGCAGCACTGGGGAGATGCTGTGGTCTGAGTGAGCATGATCCCTGTAATGGTAAAAATAAAACACAGCAGGTCCCTGTGCGGTGGCAGTGGGCAGCGGGTCCTGAGACCATGGCAGGCCACAAAGGCAGCCAGGTCCCAGACGGAGAGCCGCATGATGGGTAAGAGACCTAGACAGGTAGGCACTCATGCAGAGTGAGGTTGGATTTTTATTTAGTGGGTTAGGGAAGGGAAGGGGAGAAGAAAGCAGAAAGAGAGAGAGAGGGAGAGAGAGAGAGACAGAGAGAGAGAGAGAGAGAGAGAGAGAGAGAGAGAGAGAGAGAAAGAGAGAGAGAAGGAGAACCAGAGGGGGGAAGAAGTGGGAAGAAGGGAGCGAGGCAGATGCTGCCTCTTTGAGAGAAAGAAGGAAAAGAAGGGCTGCAGGCAAGAAGGAAGATCTGCCTGCCTCTGTGGTAGATGGGGGAGGGAGTGGGCAGGTCTTGTCTCTTAAAGAGACAGGACAGACCATTACAGTCCCCATAGGCTCAGACATTTGCTTAGTCACTAGGGAGTGAAACTATTTGTCTTAATTAGGGTTTCTATAGATGTGAAGAAGCACCATGACCACGGCAACTCTTCTAAAGGAAAACATTTAATTGGGGCTTAGTGATTATCACTGTGGTGAGACGTGGCAGTGTGCAGACAGACATAGTGCAGGAGAAGGAGCTGAGTCTAGACTAAAACAAGAGTCCAGCTGGTTAATAGGCAGACCACCGTGTACTAACCATGCTGCCCGTCTGAGTGACTGGCCCTTACCATCCAAGCCTGTAGGAGGACTCTGTCTCAACAAAACTGCTGATGGGTGCAGTTCTTAGAGCAGATCCCCCTCATTTAGAGACAGACGACTGTAATTATTCCAGCAGCTGACCACATCTGGTAATCCACAGAGACTCTGGCCTCGAGTGCCGTGATGTAAGCATCAGAGCGCCTTGCAGTGATGACACTGGGCAGGGATGCTGAGTGTAGGGGTCAATGGTAGCTTTCTCCTCAATAACCCAAGACTTGATTTGCAGTTGCCAGACTGAGGTGAAGCATCAGTGTGCGTTCCTGGAGTCTTGGGTACCCTGAGGAGGAAGGATATTGAATACGAGGGAAAGACAGGGCTTTCGATGAGGCTCTACTACAGCAGCTGCCTGGGAGGACCTCGTCCTGTCTCTCACAGCTCCTATTTGTCTTCTACCACCCAAACTTCCTGACTTCCTTAAGAATTTTTGGTCTTTGTTGCTTCAACATTTTTATTGTTGTTGTTGTTGTTGTTTTTGAGACAGGTTCTCACCCTGTAGCTCAGACTGGCCTAGAACGCATTATATAGCCTATTCTGGCTTCCAACTTTGGATAATCCTCTTGCTTCAGGCTCTCCAGTTCTTGGAATTACGGGAGTGAGTCACCACACAGCGCTCCCTTCAGAAAATATTTAAGTCTGGCAGTACCCAGCTAAACTAAACAGTTTGAAAGTTAATTCTATTGGGTCTGACTTCAGGGAGTTTACAGGCTACCTAAGGAGGTGGGGTGCAGAGGAGGAAGAATCCAAATATGTTTGGGGATAAGGTTTATGGAGCGTGATGAGAGATCGCTTTCTGGAGGCAAACTCTGTAGGCAGCCTGTCTTTCTGACTGAAACAGGTTTTGCCCGAGTCCACACATGTGGTGGGGAACAGACCACCAGGCACTACCCGTGGGGGTGTGAGCAGCAAGACTTTGTTAGGAAACCCCTGTCCTATCTGCTCCAGAGAAGCATGAGACAGAAGACGAAGGGAGTGAGGCTCAAGACCAGAGCGGGGAGGTGCAGGCACATGCGTAGAAAGGCGGGCATGTTAAACAGCACCTCTGCAGACAGTGCTTCACTGAGCAGAGGAGCTGGAGACCAGCTAGAAGGCCTGGGACGGTCCGAAGAGGGCTGATGGGGTGGGACAGGCTCAGAGAAAAACAGGAAGCAGTGTGACAGCGCTGGGGAATGCGGGAGTGGCTGGGAGCCACTATCATTACCTCTGAGGTGTATAATCATGGACACTGCCTAGCTGGGGGCGGGGGTCTGAGCGTTGTCCAGCCTGGCTGCTTCTGACCCTGCCCTAGACACAATTGAAGACAAAGGACTCACAGTGAGAATTCGTATCAACTAGCTTGCATTTGTTGCTCAGAGTGACTTTGGGAAGGTTCCCCTGCCTCTCCTTGCCTCTATTTTTTTCCTTTTCTTTTCTTTTCTTTTCTTTTCATTTTTTTTAACAGTAGCATTGATTTCCTTGAATGCCATCGATATTCAAGATTGAATTTCCCTTAAAACAATTAGATCTCAGCCTTCCTAGTGCTGCGACCCTTTAATACAGTTCCTCATGTGTGATGACTCCCCCAACTATAAAATTATTTTCATTGCTACTTCATAACTGTAATTTTGATAGTTATAATGTAAATATCTACTATGCAGGATATCTGACCTATGATCCCTGAGAAAGGGTCATTCGAACCCCCAAAGGGGTTGCGACCCACATGTTGAGAACCACCGAGGGCTCCTGGTTTTGATACTCTCCAGTACTTACGAATTTTGTATTTATCTTTATCCTCCTTCAGTAGTAGTTGTCAGGGGCAGAAGCGCATCGTGGGCAAGATCCTTCTGAATCTCCATCTTTAAGAGATCTTACCCCCGCAACGGTAGCGAATACTTCACCCGATTGCCTTAACATGTAATTTCTGGAGGTGATTCACAGCAGGTGGGGGACAAGAACTGGAAGTTCAGACGCTGGGCAGAGGCTGCTATGGTTTGCACGTTTGCGGCTCCTCTTAAAATCATGATTTGGAACATAGCTGCCAAAGTAACAGCATTCACGGTGCGTGGTGAAGAGTTGGATACCCTTAATTAAGACTTGAGCGGTTCTTCCTTCCACACTTCCACTCGGTCTGGATGGCCACAGTGTTCATCTTCTTTAGAGGGTGCCATTCATGACTCCATCCTGACAACAAACTGGGTCCTCACCAGCCATCTAAAACCTGTGCCCTGACCCTGAACTTGGCAGCATCCAGAGCTGTGAGAAACAAACATTTCCATCATCATGTCATTTTATCTGTATAGGTCTTTTCTCTGCATGTATGTACTTGTATCACACGGATGCACTGCCTACATAAGCCACAAGAGGGTATGGGATCCCCTGGAGCTGTAGTTACAGATGGCTGTAAGTTGTCCCAGGACTCAAATCCTAGTCCTCTGGAAGAGCAGCCAGTGCTCTTCATTGCTGAGCTCAGAGAAATAAACGTTGTTTTCCTTGTAAATTACTTAGTGTGAGCCATTTTGTTATAGCAGCACAACTAGCCTAGAGTCCACCAGGAAAGATTCTAAGGACACACTCTGCCTGGCACACCCTGCCCTTGGTGTACCTCACATCTTCTTCACTCCACAAACTGCCATCCTTGTGCTGGCATTAAGTATTATCTGTGAAATGTAGTCATCATTGAACAGCAAACACCAAAGATTATTTTTTTCTAAACTAATCATGGATGATCTCTGGTCAAATAAGGTTGCTGAAACTTTATTTTACAATTTACAAATGCCCAAATCTCTGGATTTTTGTCCTTTGACATTCATTTAGTACTTCCAAGTTTAAGCAAGTGATAATGGCTCTGTGGACCTGGTAATTGCTTCTTTCTGATACTCTGCCAGGAGTTAATTTACATATGTAATTATTAAATCCATTTTAAGGGGGCTTTGGTGTAATGTAAGCTAACTTGTCTTCAATATTGCTAGCATTCAGAAATAAATTCAGAAGGGACCCTACTTGTTTTGTAAATTGCTCAGTGTGTCAGACATGTTCAGTAATCTAACCCTAAGAAGAAGAGGTTCCCGTGCCCACTCCACCTCTCCCCTGGCAAATGTCTGAAGTGTGGCGGTGACATTTCTAATTTCTTTTTGAAGGTAGACTTTGGGGAATAGTTTTTGAAAACTAGTCTTTGTGAAACAGATGATGGCTCCGTCAGAAACTGTGCTCTACTTTAAAAGCCTGTGGAGCATGCGTAAAGTGTCGATGTCAGCTGCTGGGGACAAATTATATTCAGTGGAAGTTTGAGAAAAGCCACAAGGTGCATACGATGGATATAGTCACTGTGATTACTCTCCTTAGGAGCTAGAAAATAACCACTTAGGGAGGCTATGACTGAGAGTAATTGCTGTCTGATGAAGAAAAACTGGGGGAAAATAATTATAAGAGTGAAGAAGATATTTCCGAACCATCTGTCATTTAAAAATAAGAAACAAAAAAGGGAAACATAGTATTCTTTTTTCAGAAAGCCCTGGAAGCCGACACAAAAGGTAACGTTCTGGTGGTGTGCACAGAATAAGGAGGCTGATGCAGGTACGTGATAGCGTTTACAGGACATCTGAGACCGTGGTGTGATGATACCCACACTTGAGGTGGGCATTGCTGTTTCTCAGTTGCCTTTATTTGGCATTTCTACATAGCCAAAGGGAAAGAACACATCCAGATGAAATGTCAGTAATTGGAAGCAGGAGACACCAACAGAAAGATACGTCCTCCTATCAGAGTAAAGGTACACAAAAGGTGGCACTAAGGGAAGTCAGTCTTTATCACCTGCCATTTCCTACTGTGTTTAATGCGCGTCATCTTGGTGAGGTAGTGAAGGACCAGGCTTCACTCAGATAATATCTGATTGGCAGTCTCTTCTTTGGGGGCAGGCAGGTGGAAGTCGATGGGTAACGACTTCTGAGTTATCCAGGTTTGCCTTACGGAAGATTACATATGGAGGGAAGGAACAGGAGAACTGTCCAGTGTCCTTCAACCATAGAGTCAGTACCAGATAATAAGAGAGGGCTGAGGAGCTGAAAGCAATCCCTGCCTCTGGGTTTCTAGCACTCCATTAATGTTCCTGGTAGCAGTTTCCCTTCCTCTCTGACCTGAGCACTGGGGGCGGGGCGGCTCTGTGAGACTCCTCTTTGATCCAGCCACTGACCCTAGCCTTGGCCTGCCACAGGAACTACTGCTTTTGGGAATCAAAGGAGAGGCCTGGAGAATACATATTCTGTGCGAAGGGTTTGCATGTATGTTGCTTTTACTTTTTTTGAATTTGTATTCCCTTTGTGTTTTTGTTTTTGTTTTTAACCTCCTTGGCATTGCTTGATGTCCTAAGCAGATATTACAGACATCATAGAGCCGTCCCTCTGTCAGGACATCCTCTGAATCTATGTTCCCCTATGCATAGCTTCTAATGAATCCATGGCTTTAGGAATGGGTTAGACAGCTCTTTCAGTCTCCCACCAAAGATGGAAGCTACAAAATCATCCCACACTAGCTCATAGCGGCGTATAATAAATGGTATTGTATTTAGGGGTAGACTCACAGATCACAGGCCTCTGCACTAACAGGAAACAGGACCAAATCTACAAGATGGGAGAGAAAGAACGAGCGTGCTTTATGTATGCATTTATAGTTTAAGAGGCCATACCCAAGTGGGATGGTGTCTTAAATGCTGCTGGCTGAAGGATTTCCTACAGTACTTCCCCTTTTTGTTTAAACAAAAGAGTTCTAAGCCTAATACAAAACTATTTGTAAGAACAAATATCAAGTGTAAAAATTAAAATTACAACCAGCATAAACAATATTAAGCAAGGAACACATGTTTCAATAATCATTCTATCCTAAGTCTTGTATTAGAAATGGCATTGCTAAATCATAAGAGGAAATTAACTACAACTCTCTAATCTTCAACCACATCGAAGGCCTGAGAAGGGAGACAATATTACTTGAATAAGCAGGAAGGGCAATAAAGCAGCTTTCAAAATGTACGATAAATGCAAAAGTGCCATTTGAAATGTTGAAGCAACCAACTTTGTGTCTAAGGCCTAGAGTAACTGACAGACCATTTTCCGAGGCAGGGGAATTTTCAGAACCATCTTACCCTGTCTTGGCAAGGTTTGGCAGTATTTTTTCTTGTATCCTGCTTGTCCTGTCTGGACATTGTGCATTTTGTCAGTGGTCAAGGCATGGGCAGTTCATTGCGCAAAGGCCAGTTTTGCCAAGAAGAAAACAAACTCTAAGTGGAATGTCTTCAGACCTCAACATTCTGTCAGGAATAGATCAGTGCTGCCAGGAGCAATCCTGTCTCACATCAACAGAAGCCTAACTTATTTAAATGCCTTATTTTACAGTTCTTTGAAGTGGTTGAAGATTACCTATCTATGCAAAATACAGTCTCTATGTATCTAAAAAACCTGATTAGTTTAACTATGACAAACATGAATGACTGTTGACCTATAATACTCAATACCTAGATAACTTAAAGACTAAGACTTCATATTATAATATTAAACAATCTTTAAACAACTGTACAGAAATTGAGTACAACGACCTCAAAATGTAAACAATGTACAAGTATTTTAATCAGAGGTAGAAATATATAATGCAATATGATAAATTTATCATAAAATTGGATCAATATACAAAATGGCTTAAGCAGAGGTAGAAGCATGCACACAATATGACAAAATAACTTTGCATAGGTGTACAAATAATATAAACAAATATGAGCATATTCAATATAATTTGAATTTGTATCAATATACAAGAATCTATACCAATATAAATTGCCTATAAATAATAGCCCACAAGTATTCACTCTATTACTCACTATTGTTATTAGGATGAGTAAACTCACACTAAACTACCTATTATCTCATCCAATTTTCTTTTTTTTACAAAGAGATCCCTGAGCCTATATAATTTCTACCCCAACCCCCAACCCTATACCAGTTATATTCAACTCCTAATTGATGTACCTAACCCTGATGACAAACTTTGTTAGGAGAGAGGACATTGTCTTCTAGAATTACTTTCAGCTGTCATGGGAGTGATGTTCTTTCTAAGGGATCCTGTAAAAGTAAAATGATAGTTAAGTTTCAAGATTACTGTCTGGTCTAATTGTAAATAGTCTCTGAACAGATCAATAGGATTTTTCTGAGGTTCCTATTTGAAATTCTGGACAGTACATTATAAGAAGGTGTAGAAAGCAGGCCTGCTTTTCGCCTCACCCAGCTCCCGCACGGCTAGCTTAGTCCCAGAAATAACAACACATAAGTTGTATTCATTTAAATACTGCCTGGCCCATTATCTCTAGAGAATTAGTTACTGGCTAACTCTCACATCTTGATTAACCCATTTCTAATAATCTGTATCACACCACGAGGTGTGGCTTACCGGGAAAGATTCAGCATGTCTGACTTGGTGGCTGACTCCATGGCGTCTGCCTCATTGCCCTCTTCCCAGCATTCTATTCTGTTTACTCCGCCTACCTAATTTTCTGTCCTATCAAAGGGCCAAGGCAGTCTCTTTATTGACCAATGAAAATAACACAATAGACAGATAACCCTCCTCCATCAAGAAGGTGTACCATTTCAGCTAACAAAGTTGAAACCATCTTGAGCAGCTGGTACCCAAAACCAATCTTAAAGTAGTGCTATCAGCATCATGACATCATATCAACCAGGTGGAGTCATTGTTGTGGGGCCCCATCTTCTTCCTGGAAACTTCGAAGATTACTGAAAGAAATATATTGTTCATTGTGGAAAACTTAAACATTATTTATATAGACATATATTCAAGAAAGATACAATATAGACAAAATAAGTATGGAGAAAAGTAAAATTTTTCCTAAGATCTTTCTTCTTTCTATCCCATATCAGATGGCTCCTGACATAAGACAGAAACTCTGAATTTTTCTTTTAACAACATGCTTGGACTTAGAGAAGGACAATCATTATCCAACTTCAGAGTCAGCTTTGATTTTTAAGTAAGTTTATATTCCTATGGGGCAATAGATATTTATATATATGTACAGAGAATATACATATGAAATTTTACCCTGCAGATAACCTGGTCTCATAAGTCATATTCCTCTTTGTTTGGTGATCCTTTATGGATGGTTATCTTTTCCTCTTTAGGCATCCAAACATCTAGGGTCTCTTAAAAATGGATGCTAAGTAGAAATCTCACACTAGCTCAGAATTGAGTATAATAAAGAGTTATTTATTTAGGGGTAGACTCACAGAGTCATCCACATGAATGGGGAACAGAAACCAAATCCAGCAACCAGAAAAGAGAGGGAATGCAAGCTTTACATCAGCATTTATAGTATAAGAGGACATCCAAAGGGGTGGGTAACTTAAAGGCTACTGGCTGTAGAATTTCCAACAGCAGTCTCTTGACTTTTTTTTTTAAAAAAAAGGGTAGAATTAATATTTTATCCTCATTTATAATCAGATGGCAGTTGGGGATAGACTCTCCACACTTCATATTTGTTTGAAAATTTAAAAAGTTACAGGTTTTAAACAGCTGCTGGCTGGTTATGTTTCTCAGGGCATAATTACGCAAATTCAGTAATGGAGGCTTCAAGCTTTTCCTTGTTCGCACCAGAGAATTCACCCACCTTTTGACCCTTTTTGTAAAACTGGAAGGTCGGCATGCATTTGACTTCACACTTTGCAGCAACGTCCTGGCAGTCATCCACATCTATTTCAAGGAACACCACACTGGAATCCTTTTCAGAGAGGGAGTGGAAGAAAGGCTTGATCATTTTACAAGGTCCACACCACGTGGCTGAGAAGTCCACAAATACGAGCTTGTCTCCCACAGCCTCCAGGGCCTCCTGAAAAGCTTCCTTGCTCTCGATCAGCTTCACCATTTTGGCAGTCGCGGGGGAGGAACCACACGAGTTCCTGTAGAATCCGATGGGAATGGATTCGAGGTGCACGACGGAGCTTGCACAGTCTCTTGACTTTTTAAGGATGAGTATTTTCCTGCAAAGACAATAACAGAACCCTGACCCAACCCTTATGAGGTTTCTTTACCACCTGTATGATTGTCACCTCTGGGTATGAGGTATCATTTCTCTTTCTCAAGAGGTTTCTCTTTTTCAAACCAAATCTTTATTACTTTTGATGGTATCCATAGCTTTTCTTCTGTTGAAACAAGAGCAAAACCCCTTTCCCAATGTAGCACATCTCCTGGTTTCCATTCTGAGGTCAACACATACTTGAAATACACTGACAGATTTAATTCAGAAGTCTTCTATTATCCAATGTTTCTCTGCAGCCATTGTTCCTTTCTCATTAGCATTAAGAAAATTCAAGGTTAATAAGCATTATGCAATCAATTTCTAGGAATATTTTCCATCCCTTTCTGTTTGTTTAACATGTCCTTTATAGTTAAATTTGATCTTTCTATCAAATTTATCTAGATTCTACTGCCTAATCTGTAGGATTGTTTGGTATACCTATGCTATGCTTTATATTATAATAAGAAAAAACTGTTTCATTTTCTTAGATACATATACTGGACCATTGTCAGTCTTTATTTGTGCAGGTATTCCCATGATGGCCATAACTTCTAATAAATGTGTGTTTACTGAATCTGCCTTTTCTGAACTCAAGGCAGTTGCCCATTGAAAACCTGAATACGTGTCAATGCTGCTGTGTACATATTTTAACTCTTCAAATTCTGTAAAGTGGAACACATCCATCTGCCAGACTTCATTCCTTTGAGTACCCTTTGGGTTACTCCCTGAAGGTAACAGTATTTTGATTATAGAAAGAGCAAGTAGAACATCTCTTTATAATCTCCTTAGCTTGTTGCCATGTAATAGAAAACTCTTTCTTTAAACCTTTGCTAGCAACATGATGTTTCTTATGAAATTCTGAGGCCTTCAGCACATTTCCAACCAATAATCAGTCAATTTCTGCATTACCTTGACCTACAGGACCTGGTAGATCCATATGGGATTGGATGAGTGTTATGTATATGGGACAAGGCCGATTCTTGATTATATCTTGAACCTGAATGCATAATGAAGCTAATTCTGTATTATCTGGTATAAATTCAGTTGTTTCAACATGCAAGACAACTCTGCATATTGTGAATCAGTAACTATATTGAGAGTTTTTTAAATCCCATAGTACCATGAAAATAGCATGTATTTCTGCCTTTTAGACAGAATTATAAGGGCTTACATCTTATAATTAAGTAATGTTCCACCTTATTTAAATCTTCTGACTTGTAACCTGCATTCCTGACTTATTTGCATCAGTATAAAATGTACATCCTCCAGTTATTGGTGCATCACATACAATTCAGGGAAGAATCCAAGTATTTCTATTTATAAGGTTAATTCTATCACTTTTGGGATAATTACTATTAATCTCTCCTTTAAAAATTGCACAAGCTCTTTGTCATGGTTCATTGGTTTCCCATAATTTTTTATAATTTCGTAAGTAGTGAAAGGCACTACAATTTCTGTTGGGTCTATACCTGCTAGTTGACAAAGTCTCAATTTTCCTTTTATAATTAATTCAGAGATTTTTTCCACATAAATTTTTAATTATTTACTTGGTTTATGTGGTAAAAAAGACTCAGACTAAGATAATCTCTTTTCTTTTCATTAAAATTCCTATAAGGGAAATCCTGGAAGCCAATATGACTAGAATGCAATTAAGATTTGGATCTACTCTATCCACATGTGCCTCCTGTAATTTCTCTTCAACCACAGTTAATTCTTTCTCAACTTCAACTGTTAATTCCCTGGGACTATTTAAGTCTTTGTCACCATCTAAGGTTTTGTTTAAATGAATTATCAGATCAGGTTTTATCCCAACAGCTAGTCATAGACTGGAAATGTCTCCTAACAATCTTTGAAACTCATTAAGAGTCTGCAAACGGTCTCTCTTAATTTGTGCCTTTGTGTTCTAATTTTCTGTAAACCTATTTTATAACCTAAGTAATTGATAGAATCTCATATCTGTATTTTTTCAGGAGCAATTTGTAATCCCCATTTATGCAAAACTTCTTTACTTCTTCAAACATTCTTTCTAAAGTATCTGCATTTGAATCAGATAACAAAATGAAAATTATAGATTTAGGAAATTGTTTACATATCATTTCCAATGGCTGACTGACAAAGTATTGGCACAGGGTGGGGATATTGAGCATTTCCTGTAGGAGGACAGTCCACTGGTATCTCCTAGTAGGCTGAGAATTATTATAAGTAGGCACTGTGAAGGCAAATTTTTCTCTGTTCTTTTCTTGTAAAGGTATAGTGAAGAAAAAATATTTTAAATCAATAACTATAAGAGGTCATCCTTTTGGTAATAGAAAAGGCAGAGGAATTCCAGATTGTAAAGGGCCAATAGGTTGGATTACTTTGTTACTCTTAGATCTGTCACCATTCTCCATTTTCCACATTTCTTTTTAACAAATACAGGATAATTCCAAGGGCTGGTCTATTCTCCAATATGGTGAGCATCTAGCTGCTCCTGTACCAGTTGTTCTAAAGCCTGAAGTTTGTCTTCTGTTAAAGGCTATTGTTTATCTCATATTGGTTTATCAGTTAACCATTTTAAAGGCAGGGCCATTAATACCTCTGAAGGCTTGCTAGTTGCTTTGTGTTCTTGTATAGTCTGAATGGCTAGTGACCTTTGTTTATTATGCCTTATAATATCCTTCCCAGAAACATGAGTTTTTGGGACTACAGAAATGTTAATCTGGGTATTCCATTGCTGCAACAAGTCATGACCCCACACATTCACTGTAATATGAGCTACATAAAGCTTCAGCCTACCTTTCTGTCTGTCTGGCCCCATGCATTCAACCCATATCATGCTTTGTTTCACTTGAGATAGAGTTTCAATTCCTAGGAATTAAACATCTGCCTCTTGATGAGGCCATTTTGGATGCCAAGATTCTGGAGTAATGATACTTCTATATCTGTGTCTAGTAATCCCTCAATTACAATGTTATTTATATGAACTCTTAGCTTTGGTTCTTGATCATTTATAGAAGTCTGCCAAAATATATCTTTCCTATTTCCTACTGGAGTTTTTGATTCATCCTCCATGTCTATTCCGTCATCCAGAACAGTGTGGGTTTTTTTTCAGTATGCACTGGATTATTTAATTTTCCTGGTGAGACGTGTTCTCCATAGTGACTGGGAATGATTGGACCAAGTTTGACATGGGGGCCTGCGAGAGGCCCCCCCATGGAGTTTCCCAATTGTAATGGGTTGGCTTGTCTGACTTTCGTTGATCTACATTTATTGGTCCAATGCCACCTTTGCCAGACATCCTACATATTACAGAAGGTTGAGACTGTCTATTCTTGCCATTTCCAGAGGAGACATTATACCTAGGAATTCCTTCTGTACAATCCCTTTTCAGATGTCTTATCCCACCACAATTAAAACATTTGTTTCCTTATAACTTTGGAAATTGCTTCTCCTATCCAAGCCTCAGTATTATCATCACGTGTCTCAATGTTCATTGTATTCAGGATCCATTCATCCACTGGTGCTGATCTAACCTTTAAAGGCCCAAGTATCTTTTCGCATTCTAAGTTGGCATTTTCAAAAGCCACAGTTTCAATAAGTACACATCTAGCTTCTGGGTCTGTTACTCTAACTTGTACAGCCTTAGTTAATCTTTGTAAAAAGTCACTAAAGGGTTCTCTCTGGCCCTGTTTAACCTTGATACACAATCAAATTCTCTTTCCTTGTTCCTGAATCCTGTCCCAAACATTTAAAGCTCCATAGGGACAAAATGTGTTTGTCATAGAGGGTCTGGTCCTGAGGATTGAAGCAATGGCCCTTGCCAAGAATTTGATCTTGGGAAGCCTCAAATCCTTTTGCTTTTCCCTGTTGTTCTAAAATTTTTGCCTTTTCTTGCCAATAGCATTTCCATAGCAGCTGGGGTCCATTTTCTAGGACCACTGAGATTAATTGAAGCCAATCGTGTGGGTAGCCTTATTGCTTGAAGTCCACATTTTCACCATGTTTCTAACAAATAATGAATTCAGGTCAAAAAATACAATTGCTTGCTTAATTTCTTTTAGATCCCTCATATCTATAGATTGCCATGTATATTTGTTGACTACCTTAGGGTATTTGTGCCAGAAGGCTTCTTGGAGGATAATACTGGATAGGCAGTTAAAACTCTGGGTAAGTCCTGGACTCTGGCACATACTGATGAAGCTAAATTCTGTCCTTGTACTTTTCTCCCTGCTTATCAGTTTTGATAATTTCCTCAATCTTTTCAAATCTCTTTACTACTTCCTTTTGTAAAGTCTGAATCTCCTGTACAGTGTTCCATTCTAATGTCCTCATTGATGATTCCAAGGTATGAAATTTGTCCAATAACAATAACATCTCATCCTTGGACATGCTTTTCATAGCATGCATATTGCTTTCCTGAAGAGACACTTACCTGCTAACCTATCATAACTTTTCAACAGATTCCAATTGTTAAATTCAATAGCACAAATTCTTTCAGATAACGTCTAAGTATCCTTTGACATTGGTTGGATTTTATCTGTCAAATCAATGTTAACCTTTTCAATAGTATTAATTTTTTCAACAAGCTGTTCATTATTAGTCTCTAAAGACTGTATCATTTCTAAAAGTGCCTCATTCTTGGATCTGTTGTCAAACCATTTTCCTAATGATATAATATGGAAAACAACTGGCTTTTTGGGATCCTGGCCTGTTTAGATGCTCACCTTCCTGGACCTGGAGGGAGGGGGAAGGAACTTGAACTTCCCACAGGGCAGGAAACCCTGACTGCTCTTGGGAATGGTGAGGGAGGAGGAGAGGGAGTGGGGGGAGAGTTGGGGGAGCGGGAGGGTATTGGGAGGAGGGGAGGAAGTGGAAAGAGTGTTTTCGACTTGAATAAACAAGTCTAATGGAAAAAAAATTAAACTGTAATTACATCATCCCCCTCCATTCCTCCATTCACACACTCCCACTTTCCCCTCTTGCTCCCTCTCAAACATATGGCCTCTAATTATTGTTTCACATATAATGCATAAATATATAAAGAGAACTTGCTGAGTCCAAAAAAAACAAAAAACAAAAAACAAACAAAACAAAACAAAAAATAATATGGAAAACAAAACTAATTCCCCAAATCAAATAAATGGATGTATAAGAAAAATCACATAAGCCTTGCAGAATACCGTCCATAGTATAAGCAAAAAGGTTATTAAATTCCTGAATGGTAATATTGTCTTCTATTGTATAACTTTTCTCAGGCTTCTTATTAACTTACATTAACCCATAATTCTTGTCTGCATTAGCCACATGGCTTGGTACCTTTTGCCAGTGAGGCAATCTCATCTGGCTTCCTTTGTGTCTGAGTGGCGACTGCGGGACTAGGTGGGACAGAAACCTCTGCCAACATCCCAACCCCCCTCTCACCTTGACCCTCAAGGCTCTCCATATATGGGAAAGTCTGTTAGCATTTCATAACCTAAGGGAACTGAAGCCATGGATACAGCAATGTGAGACCAGCATGGACATGGACACAAGCCTGCGTCAATTTTGTTTATTTCTATGATGCTGTAGTATTTACATTCATGCTTTTGAACTCAATTATATCACTCTGATTTCTCCTTTTTTCAATTTATTTATTTTTATTTTTGTGTATTGATGTTTTTCCTGCATGTGCATTTGTGTGAGTATGTTAGATCCCCTAGAACTGGAGTTACAGACAGTTCTGAGCTGCCATGTGGTTGCTGGGAATTGATCCCAGGTTCTCTGGAGGAGCAGACTTATTATGGTCTTGTATCTGTAATGAACGTAGGGCCTGAGGATGAGGAGTATGCTGAATGGTCTTATGTCAACTTGACACACAAACTAGAGTTACTTGAAAGGAGGAAATCTTAACTGAGAAAATGCCTCCATACAATCCAGCTGTAAGGTATTTCTTAATTAGTGATTGATGATGGAGGGCCCAGTCTATTGTGGGCGGGGTCATCCCTGGGCTGGTAGTCCTTATTTCCATTAAATGGCAGGTTGAACAAGTCCTGAGGAGCAAGCCAGTAAGCAGCACTCCTCCATGGCCTCTGCATCAGCTCCTTCCTCCAGGTTCCTGCTCTGCTTGAATTCCTGTCCTGACTTCCTTTAATGATGAACAGTGATGAAGAAGCGTAAGACAAATAAACCCTTCCCTCCCAACTTGCTTTTGATCATGGTGTTTCACCACTGCAACAGAAGCCCTAACTAAGACAAGGAGGGAAGAGTTTTTTGAGAGGAAGAAACTATGACGTAAAGGTTTGGGGCTTGAGCCGGCGATGTAGATCAATGATAGAGCTCTTGCCTAGCATGTGTAACACCATGGGTTCAATGTCCCAAATCACAAATAAACATATATACAAACACATATGTGATACATGTATACAAATAGGTACACACACACATATATATGTGTGTATGTATATATACATATGTATATATAAAGTTTGGGACTCAGTTGGCCAAATTTTACATTACTTTTGATTCAGCACACTTGTAACCTTGAAGAATTTTCTAATGTTTGAAAGTCACTTCTTCTGCTTTGAAAATTTCATCATTTTACTGTTTAACTTCCTACTTAGAATATATTTTAAGTTAAGTACTTCATTCTAAACAGTTAAAGTATCTCAGTGGCATTTATTGAAAGAGCTTTCGTGTCTCATCACCATTTGCCGAAGGCCCGTGTGTAGTAGGACTCACTCGTGGGCTCTGTCCTCTGTCCTACACTTCCTCTCCAGGCATCCCATGACAGCAGCTTTAGTTACCACAGCTCTTATAGTTCCTAAAACTAGGGAGAGCGTATTCTGATACATTCTCTTCTCAAAATGTATTTTAAATCTTGTTCAGCTTTCCTAAATGAACCATTTTTTGTTTAAAAGTCATACTGGAATTGCTTAGTATTTGTATTAAATTCATTGATTTAATAAGTCCATTGACGAGAAAAACTGATAGGAATATGGCATATGTTAATTTGAAATTTAAAAATCTCTCTTTAAACATGGTTCCTTTTTTAAGGTCCCCTTTTTATTAAGGTAGTTTAAGGTTTCTATACTTGTCTCATTTCTATTGTTTAAAAATTATTTGTACTCAATATGGCAACTTCATTTGTTCTGTTAGCAATTCTTGCTTTGGTTGAGATTTCTGTGTACTCTTTCTGTCTCTTTCTCGTGTGTGTGTGTGTGTGTGTGTGTGTGTGTGTGTGTATTATATCTTTTTGGTTCTGAAGAAATTTGTTTCCCTTTTCAAAAAATATGTTCGTATATTATCTAGCAACTATTGAATAATTTTTAGTTTCATTTCTGGTTATAGTAGCAATTGCTGGCATTGCAGGTATGTGCCATCAAACCTTGTTTTCTGCTTTTCAGTTATAGAAAATTATGGAAACTCGAGAAAGGGAAATTCTAATGTGGAGAATTGGAAGTGAAAGCATCCTGTATGATCTTCCTTGAAGATGTCCATGGGAGTTTTAACAGTTGAACAAAATCAAAGTATGAAAATAAAAATATTTTACAAGGTTCACAGTTCGTAGCTGTTGCCAGGGAGGAAGCAAGCAAAGCTGGGAACAAGCTGGTTTGCTGCTCATTCTACAGAGAATGAGAATATGTCTCATATTTGTCCTTATAATCTCCTGAAATACACGGAATTCCTGTAAGGTCTTGTGGCACTTCAGCACAGAGAAGGACAATGTCGCATTTGAAAACCACTCTTTGTTCATTTCCTGTGCAACGAGCCTGAATGGAAATGGGAGGAAAGGCTTTGTATTTAAGTTCCTTCCTGATTTTCCCCAAAGGAACAGGGATAGTTAGGTTTTTCTCCTCCATGAGTAGACACAAGCAGAAAGCCATATCTACACTGAGATGCAGGACCCACTCACACCAGAAGCACTGTGAACTACAAGCACATAAGGGTTTTCTATTGTGGTAGGGAAAAGTTTGTCATCACAAAAGCTCCTTTTAAAGTTATCTAAACCCCGAGAAAGTTAGCTTGGGGCCTTTGCGAGCAACTTGAAAATACAATTTTCTTTTTAATTTTTAATCTTAGGCTTAAATTTTCTTGGTGTGAGTCCCAATCTATCACCAGCAGTGAGTCAGAAAGGGATGCTTGAAATAGTTCTTGTGACATTATCTCTGCCCATGCCGTGTTGCCCAAGGATGGCCAAACCTATTTCTCATGCATCTAATTATTTCACCAAACCAGACAAGTATTCCTATATTAAAATAGTTTATCAGATTACATAAAGAAGCTTAAATATATCTGTCAAAAATGTGAGCCAACAGGCATCATTTTATAACATCTACTAATGTAAACTTCAGATCTATGATAAAAATTATAAGGTCCAATGTGACCCAGCAGTTTTCCAAGCCTTTTCCCTGACCAGGAAGATCTACTCAATGACTACTAATCACTAGTAAGAGAAGTGTTGTAGTAATGATGCCTTTAAAAAATAGTAACACAAAAGTAAAATCATTTACAGAATATGGCCAGGGACAGGTCATATATTATGAGAGTCAAAAAACCGTCTGTTTGGGGGGACATGTTTATCATTAAGTAGACTGACTTGTACATTAAACAGCAGTGTCCACCTTATGGTGTAGGATGCAGTAACAGAAGCTTTGTGTCTGATGCCCCTTCCTAAAACCCTAAAAAGTAAATAAAAAAAGACTGTCTACTAAGCAATATTTTAACTAAAGAAGGCCACAGCTTTTAAGAAATGTTGCAATGAAGTCCAGTAAGAAGGTTTGAAGTCTCTTCTCCAGTCTGCCCCACCTTCTTCAGGCCTAAGGGGGCTAGAGGGCTATGGTGGCTGGCGACTTTGTACTGCCAGAGAACTTTGCAATGTTGCTGGTGTTCCTGAAGAGCCTTGGTTGGTCATACACCTGGGTGTCATCAAAAAGAGCATGAGAAGTCGGGAGGTAATGGCACAAGCCTTTAATGCCAGCACTCGGGAGGCAGAGAGGGTGAGCTAGTGTCTACATAGAACCTTCACCCCTACATTCTAGTGGGTTTTGTATAGGAGGGTACTCTTCAGGCTACCAAAAGAGAAAAGCAAACACCAACCCAGCCACAAACCCTTTCATCTACAATCTGTCCTGCTGGCAAAACATGTCAGGGCAACGGTAGCATAAAGGTGTGTGAGTAACCAACCAGTGTCTGATTTGACTCCATGACATGGAACCCATACTCAACACTGTTTGGGCAACCAAAATCCAGAGACTAGATAGCCTAGAGACCTAGGCCAAAAGAAAATGCTGCTGGTCTGAAACAGAAACAACAATAAAAGGACTCCTAGCGATCTGCTGCTGTTCTCAGATCTCACAAATCTGTGCCTTCTTCGGCCATCATCAGAGAAGCTTCCTCCTGCAGCAAACTGGAACAGATACAGAGACCCACAGCCACAAAGCCCAAGGAATTCCACAGAAGAGGAAGCAGAAAGAATGTAAGAGCCAGAGGGGATAGAGGGTCTCACAAGTACTGATCGAAATTCATATGAACTCACAGACTGAAGCAGCAAGAACAGCATCTGCACAGGCCTGCACCAGGTCCTCTGTGACATGTTAGAATTTCTGGTTTAGTGTTTTTAGAGGACTCCTGAATGTGTGAATAAGGGGTGTCTGATTCTTGTGCCCTTCCCTTGAAACTCTTCTCCTTCTGTTGGTTTGCCTTGTCCAACTTCAATGTTTTATCTTAATGTATTTTATTTGTCAAATTTTGTAGTTATCACTTGGAAGTCTGTTATTTTCTAATGAGAGACAAAAAGGAAGTAGATCAGATAGAAGGGGAGGTGGGGAGGAACTGGGAGGAGGAGAGGGGGTGGAAACTGTAATCAGGATATACTGTATGAGAAAAGAATCTATTTTTACTAAAAGGGGGGAAGAGACTACAAAATCAAAACAAAAAAAAAAAAGAAAGAAAAGAAACACAGGTATGACTCTCAATTTACTTATGACCTGACAATGCATTCATTTAACACAGATGCAGCACCCACAATATAAGGCAGGGTATTTGCCAAACAAATGGTACTGTAGCCACTATACATGATAGGATTTAGGAGACTCTTTCAGATCCATGCCTGGGAAAACATTATCAAAGAATCTAGACTCATGAAAGCAGGAATTTGGACAAAATTAAGGGATGATGGTACTAGAAGGATAAAGGGACTCAGAGAACTCAAATTCAATAGGGACCTACCGGCTAGGTTGGTAGGAAATTCATGGAGTGGGGAGAAGCAGGCTGAAAGATGCCTCTGCCCTGTGTTTAACCCTCAGAACTATGACATATTACTCTACATAGCAAATGGACTGATGTGGTTACAGATCTTGAGAGGGAGGAGGTGGTCTTTAATTATTTGGTCCTCAATCTAAGTGTCCTTGTAAGAGATGAACATGAAAAACGAGGTTGTGCAGAAACAGAGATTAGAGTTCTGTAGCCACAAGCCAAGGAATGTCTGATGTGATCAGAGGCTGAGAGAAACCAGACGAGAGTCTCCCTCCAGCCTAAGATGACAGCTCAGACAACACACATGTGATTCAGCCTTCTGTCCTCAGAGACATGAGAGAATGGATTACTATTCTTGTAAGCTACTGAGCTTGCGGAAACCTGTGACAGCATCCCTAGGAAGCTCACCCATCTGCTACCCATCTCCTGCGCCACCGTTTTCTGTTCTACCTCCTCCCCATAGGTAATGCTCTCCTGTCTCTCAGGCTCCCTCATTAGCCCACCCGCACTCAGCACCCAACATTAGCACATGCTATGTGTGTGTGTGACCTTCTCATAGGGTTGTCACAGGATGCCAATCAAATTTGCATTTCAGATAAGCAACAAGTAGTCCATACTTGAGCTGGCATATATTTATATTAAAAAGTGGTTGAAATTTGGATTTAAATGAGTATCATGTTTTATTGTTTTTTTTTTTTACCTCTCCAAATCTAGTGATAATCATAGGTTGTGATGACAGAACCTTACAGAGAGGAAAATAAATCTGTCTTCACAGTCATGAAGGTTGGGTGGGACAACAGTAAGGCACTACCTAATATCCAGTCAGGGCCTTCTTGTTATGTTGTAGCATGAGAGAAGGCATCTAACAGCACGAGGGAGGGAGTGTGTGCTCGTCTCTTCCTCTCCTTGTAAAGACACCATGTTATTCTAGGAGGCTCAGCCTCACGGTCCCATCTAACAAACTGTTCCCCAAAGTCATACCTCCAAATGCCACTAATGTAAGAGTCTATGGCTCACATTCCCCACACACCGCACCGTAGTAGCTGATCATTTTATTCCTGGCCTTTCTTAGTCTGACTATTTTCCCTAAAGATGACCTCATCTCTGCCTGCTACTCCCTAGTTCTCATGCCTCTATAGCAATCCTAGTCAGAACCTTCTTATCAGCACTGTGACAATGTCTGCCATGATGGCCTTTAATGACTTCATCTGTATAACATTTACAAAGTTGCAGAACAAAAACATAAGTGACATTTTATCTTAAAATAAAAAACGGAATTAGAAATTCTAATTTAGGAAATTATCTCTCTGCTGAGTACTAATTATGTTTTTAATTTACTGTGATCATAAACCAGAGTGCTATGGTTAAAGGGCAGGTTTATAGCAAATAAATCACAAATTCAAGTTAGGCAGTGAAAACATAACTTGCTCTTTTCTGTTTTTATAGTCCTAGAAAGCAATGCATGATAAGGGCTGGCATGCAATAGAGCTCTTATCTGAGTGTGGGAAAAATCCCACGTATTAGTAATTACATTATGGCTGCATCTGCCTGATGAGTGCAGATGCCTCTTGCAAAGACTGACCATTTTCCCATCGGAAGTGAGGTACAAAGTAATGTTTACTTTTCCAAAGATTTGTCACAGCTGTTTTTCCCATTCCTTTGTGAATCATGCTGGCTCATCTGCTATAACTTAGAGAATTACAGTTTACGGTCAACACGAGCCACCGTCATAAATGTGACCGGCTCGTGCAAAAGTCCACGGAGATTTTCTTCAGGACCAAAAAAGGGAAGGGTTCCGGTGGAGAGGCAGTGAGATGGGTGAGAACTTCAGCGGTGGGAAAGCTGAAGCCTGGCGGGAATTTAGAACAAGTAGATTCAGATTTTGGTTGCCAAAGGGGAACAGAGTCAAGAAGGTTTCCAGTCAGTGTCCTTTGAGCTACCTGAGAGTCACTCAGTGGACAATCTGTAGGTTCTGGAACAAAGGGACGCCTTAAGTACATTAGTAAAATGGCAGGTGAACACAACTTACCAAAATCTTGGTAATGTTCTAAACACAAAAATATAGCATATCGGAGCTAAAGAGATGGTTTAGCAGTGGAGTGTATTGCTCTCACAGAGGACCCGAGTTCGGTTCCCAGCATCCATATCAGCTGGCTCACAACTACTGCAATTCCAGCTCCAGAAAGCAGACACCTATGATTTTCAAAAACCCTGAACTCATGTGCACATACTGACTAGCCCACATAATTAACACAGAAATTATATTTATATAATATGTTAAATATCATTTTTATCATGAGCCTTTTCAAGATATTGTGTAATTGAAGAAAATTCAGGTGGTAGAGATGAAAATCAGAGCCTACCAAACAATAGCCTTGCACTGTATTTGTCTACTCACATAAAATTTCCATTGCCTATAAGGCAAGGTGGGCACAAACCAAGAGAATTCAGAAGCAAGAATGGTTGCTTACATGGAGAAAAGGCCTAGGTTTTGGATTCCCCATTAAGGATTTTTCTCTCCTTGCTTTGGTTTCAATTTCAAGACTGTGGGAATTTAGGAAAGCCAATCATTTAATTGCTCTGCTGACTGGGCAGGTAAGCACATGCTTTATAAATTAGGTTCACTTGACTAAAATCACATGCAAGAACTAACCAAGAAAATACTCTGGAAAGTTTTCTAGAGAACTGTCCAGCAGTGGTCTGGGTTCCAAGTGTCTTCAGAGGCTGCCTGGGAGGACTTGTAGTATGGCCCAAGTATTGTCTCAGAATTACTGCCAACATCTACACATGGGAAAGATTGCATTCTCAGATAATTCCTACCCAGTGAAGAATTTGATGAAGTGAGAATCATGGTATTATACAGAAAGAGCCTTGAGTTTATTTCAAGAGTAGAAAAAAAATGTAATTAGTGATCAGTCTCTGTGGCAGTGCTCAAAATGAACAGGAACATGCCATCTGTGATACTAGAGTCTATGACGTTGCTGAATGATCAGGAACATGCCAGCTGTGACGTTAGAGTCTATGACGTCATTGAATGATCAGGAAAATGCCAGCTGTGACTCTAGAGTCTATGACGTCATTGAATGAACAAGAACATGTCAACTGTGACATTAGAGTCTATGATGTCGTTAAATGATCAGGAACATATCAGCTGTGACTATAGAGTCTATGATGTCATTGAATGATCAGGAAAATGCCAGCTGTGACTCTAGAGTCTATGACGTCATTGAATGAACAAGAACATGTCAACTGTGACATTAGAGTCTATGATGTCATTAAATGATCAGGAACATACCAGCTGTTACTATAGAGTCTATGATATCGTTGAATGATCAGGAACATGCCAGCAGTGACTCTAGAGTCTATGATGTCATTGAATGATCAGGAAAATGCCAGCTGTGACACTAGAGTCTATGATGTCATTGAATGATTAGGAACATGCCAGCTGTGACACTAGAGTCTATGACGTCATTGAATGATTAGGAACATGCCAGCTGTGACACTAGAGTCTATGACGTTGAATGAACAGAAACATTCTAGCTGTGACTCTAGAGTCTATGATGGTGCTGATTAGAAGACACTGGAAGGTCAGCAAGAAAGCTCAGCTGGTAAAAGCATTGCTATCCAAGGTTGGTGACCTGAGTCTGACTGCCAGTGAAGGAGAGAACCAACCTCTGGAAGTTATCTCCTGACCTTTATGTGCACACTGTGCAATGTGTAGCTGCACTTGCACACCACACACACACACACACACACACACACACTAAATTAAACTAAATAATTCCTAAAAGACTTGTAATCCAACTGAGATAACTCTTCCCATTCCAAAATTTCAAAGTTCTCCAGGACCCTTCCATAGAAGATAATATTGGTGGATAAAACCCATTAACACTTTTAAAATAGTCAGTCCTCCAAAGGAAATGCCTAGGACCAGAACACAAAGTAAAACTTGAAACAAGAAACATGTATAGTCTTATATCAAAGTATCCTGGCAATAGGGATTAAAGGCCATCAGCCATGAATCCTTCGAAAAAAGGGCATTAAACATATCGACCAAAAACCCAGTAGGAGCTTATATCCTGGGTACTTTTAAGTCTTTAAATTTTCTTTGAGAAATTAAAACCCATGTTTTAATAGGAGGTTAGAACTTTTGTTCCTCACGTGTTGTGAAACCCCAAGCCTAGAAATGAGTATGAAAATGGATCCTGGACATGGAGACGGCTAACTTTACCCATCGGCTCAATTAATAAAGCACTTGTGGGTGTGTATGGGAACATCCCACAGAAGTCATCAGCATGTAAGACAGCAGTGGGCAAGGAAGACCTGCACCAGTGTTAGCAGAAGGCTCAGACGGAACAAAGAAGGAAAAATAAGCCAACCAACATGTAAATGTTCAATTCCTGTGGGGCCCCACTACCTCAGGACCATGTACCTCAGGCACCATGCCTTCAGCCTTTCCCCTGAGCTCACACCAGTGACTCTCCAGGAAACTTAAAAGCCCTCAGCCTCAGCCTGAAGCCTCATCATCGATCCTTCTTGTTCGAATTGTCCAGGTTGTTAGGATGAGCAGCTATTGGATTTTTTTTGTCTTTCTAGCCTGAAGACAGCCATTTAGACTTCAATTATATAGTCCAAGCCAATAAATCACCTTTGAAATTACATTCTGCTGCTGATATCCCTTTAGAGAAGAACTCTGACTGATAAAGAGTTGGTAGAAGTTATAATAACCGTGAAAGAAATTAACACGAAAATACTTTGGGGGATACCTTTACCACTCAAGGCTCAAGGAACATCTAAAATGCAATACACCTGCTTAAGATATTACAACAACAACAACAACAAAAACCAGAGAAAATGATCCACTGAAGGAGAGGAAAGAGACAGGAGAATTAGCACCCAAGTGTCTGGAGATAATTGAAAATAAGAAATAGTGTAATAAAATTAAAAGACAGCAAAATAAGTGAACACAAGAGCAAAAGAAGGAATAGATTAGAAGAAAGAAGTGTTTGACTATCACAGTACAGGGCACTACACAACCTCTGCTTCTTAATGGACCCAGACTGAAACTACGGAAGGAAGGTAGGCTTGAGCCCTTTTTGACTGGTTATACTCCAGAGTGAATTACTTGCAAGGTATTCACTTGTGTGAATCTCACTGAATTAGAAAGCCACTCGATCAGAGCTAGGGAGATGGCTCAATAATGAGGAGCCCTTGCTGCTCCTCCAAATGACCTGGATTTGATTCCCTGCATCCACATGCTGGCTTGCAATCAACTGTAACTCCAGTTCCAAAAGATCCAATGCTCTCTTCTGACTCCCACATACTCCACACATGTATTATACAAACATACACGCAGGCAAAACACCCATACACATAAAACAAAATAATTAGAAAGCTACTTGGTAGCTTTAATTAGATTGCAAATGCATAAACATTTTTGCTGTGACTTGAATGAGATGTGGCATTTGAAAAGCTGGTCCTCAGTTGGGGGCTGTTTGGGAAGGATAGGGAGGCGTGGCCCTGTTGAAGGAGGTGTGTCAGCAGGATGGGTTTGAGGCTTGCCACCCCCAGTGCACTCTCTCTGCTCCCTGTGTGGGGAACAGGGTGTGGGCTCTTCGCTGCTGCTTCAGTGCCATGCCTGCCTGCTGACATGTTCTTCACCCTGATGGTGATAAACTCTAACCCTCTGAAACTGTAAGTCTTAAATAAACCTTTCTTTCAGTAAGTTTCCTTGGTCATGATCTTTTACCACTGTCCAATGACAGACCCTGTCTCAAGTGAAAATCACCTGACAGGCCAACCCCAAAAGCCAACTCCAGCCTCCACAAGCACATCATGCATCTGCACACCCACACAAACATGTATACTCCCGAAATGAATACACAAACATAAAAGCAAGCTGAAAACTAAATATGCCTCAATGGTTGCATAATATTTCCTCATGGGTATGATATTCATTTAATGATTCTCATTATTGTGTATTGGATTGCTTGTACATTTGATGTGAGATGCCTCTCTATATTCTGTAAATATGTTTTATTACCATTGGTAATAAAGAAGCTAATTTGGCCAATAGCCAGGCAGAATAGAGCCAGGTAGGAAATCTGAGAAACAGGATAAAAGTAGGTGGGGGTAGAGGAAAACCCCAGCAGCCACCAGGGAAGCGAGAGATGAGGTAACAAACCACGAGCCTCATGGTAAAATATAAAATAATAGAAATAGTTTAATTTAAGTTGTAAGAGTTAATTAATAATAAGCATGAGCTAATAGGCCAAACAGTTTATAATTAATATTAAGCCTCTAAGTGATTACTTTAAAAGGGCCTGTATCATGACTGGGTGGGATACAGCAGTCTCCAGTTACATATCATTTTCATTACTAGTATCTCTGCAACAAGTAATTGTGTTCTTCCTCTATGTCCTTAGGCTGTATTTACGGCATTTTAAAGTCAAGAGACAAGACTTTATAATTATAGTGTTCAACTGTATTTCACTTACATTCAGTTAAGTTTACGGAGCATGCATTGTTTGCAAGATCACTTTCCTCCAGGTGCTTGTAGTTTTGCTTTTTTTTCTCTAATTATCAAAGACATCACATGAACTATAGACAATCTGGTGAATGTGTGGGTGTGGGTGTGTGTACATGTATGCCAAACATGTGTCTTGAGTGTTTGAGTAAAGCAAAAAATTAAAAAGAACAAGCACCAGAGAATTCCACTATATTTACATTGTCCTTAAAGGAACCATGACAACAAAGACAACAATATGAAGGTTTGCTGGGAACTGAAAATTTTCATGAACTATGTTTGCTAGTCAGGTTTGTTTGGTTTGTTGTTTGGTTCGTGCAATCAAAAGAACATGTGTGTGCTAAGCCAGTAAGGAGAATCAAATGACAACTTCCTAGACTTGTTTCCATTTCTAATTCTGGATTTGAGAAAATTTAGTACCTACATTTGAAAGTTGTACTGAATTACCAAAATGCTCATCAAACCAATGAATACACACCCAAGACAGCATCTCCACAAACACCAGCTCTTCATTCCATTTCCAACTAAGAAAACAGTTGTCTGTGATCACATAAACTAAATGTACACTCCAGCAAAATTTCCCTTTGCAAAGGGATTTTTTTAACTTTGAAGAAGCTAAAGCCAAATTATGTTGTGTCTGTGTCAGGGTCAACTGTCTTTTCATTTGTCTTGTGCACAAAGACAAATTATATTACTTGACTGTTCAGGTTCTGCAAAATCAGGTAAAACAATTTTATGTACTAAATTTTAGAAACAAAGAAAGAGATAGAAGTGAAACAGGGGATAAAGAGAGACCAAAAACAGTAGTCCCTCCTATTAAATTCTTGGCTTTAGTTCTCATTCTGGTGCAGAACTCTACCTACAGGGCCCCTGTTCTAATCTGGTCTTTGTTGCTATGGCAAATGCCGTGACCAAAAGCAATGTGAGGAGGAAAGAGTTTATTGGGATTATACTTCCTGGTTTCAACCCATCACTGAGAGAGATAAAGGCAGGAAGTCAAGGAGGAGCAGAGGGAGGACGCATGTAGAAATGTTGCTTACTGTCTTGCTCACTCAGGCTCATCCTCAGCCAGCTTCCTTACACCACCCAGGGCCACCTGCTCAGGGGTCACACCACCCAAAGTGGGTTGGGTCCTCTTGCATCAACCCACAGTCAAGAAAATTCCCCCCACACGAAGCCACAAGCCAATCTGATGGAGGCAATGGCTGCCCTCAGTTGAGACTCTGAGCTGCGTCAAGCTGAGGCACTCTCTGTTGTGTATATTTGCACCCTGAATAACCCTAGGGGGCGCGATTCACATAGAGTCCTGATTGTGAACTAAGCATTTCAATTCAACAACGCAACAGACAGCAATGACTTCAGAAAACACATATGACAATAGCTTATTGTATGAAGGAAGTCCTTTCTAAAGAAACAAAAGTTCAGGAAAATGAAAAACGGCTTTGGAGGGGAAACAGTCATATATAGCACCAGACCAGGCTGGTGTCATCTCCAAGGTTGTAAAAGTTTATTGTCAACAGTAAAGCAATGACCATGGATCAAAAAAGTAATCCGAGAAAACCTGATCACTTCAGCTTAAAACTTAAGTAATTCCCTAAACAATCTCAACGGCGAGAAAGAGGAAACTCAAAAAGAAAACAGGAAAAACCACAAGCTGGTTTTCACATCGCAGGCAGCTTTTCTAGAGCTTTCAGTTTGCTTGTCGCTTGAGCTTTCAAACTCTTGGCTAAACACATCAGTAGAGAATACGAGAAACCACAAAGATAGGTCCTGACCTCATGTCTTCCAGCCTGGGCAAGCCTCTGAAAAGTCAGATTTGCTACCACCAAGAATCATGCTTGCCATCAGGACTGGTTTTTAATGATAGCCACTTCGCCTGTCTCCCCTAGCTTCCTTTCTGAGGCCAGTACCATGAAAGCCGTGAGGGTGCTGGGAGAGCACACCCAATGCTAGACCCACTGTGTGGCACATGGTGTCTGTGGCTGCTCCGTATCCACTGGATTTTGCCAGCGTGTGTTCTTGTCCCATGGAGTCTTTGTGCACCCTTAGATGCCACAGAAACTTCCTGAAGAGCAACCCAGATAGAAAGAGTATGGGCTTGGGAATCTATGCACATCTACGTGTTGAATCCCAGCTCTAAGTTCTGAGCAAATAGCACTTTATAAAAATTGCAAAGCAAGTTTACTGGTTAGGCACCAAAGGATGACATGTTGATTTAATTTGCTCTATAGGGCACTTCTCTTCTGAAAAAGGATGTTCACAATGAGTGAAGAGCATCTGACAGAGTGCCCGAAGCACAACAGAACCTCCAATAAAGTCTAGGAAGTGTAGGGCACCTATTTACCAGCTCTGAGCTGGGAGCCAAGGTGGCCAAGGCTACAAATACTGACTCTAGGTTTACAGACGTGTGACCCTGTGCAGCCCATTTCAACCCCGGGTCTTGGTTTCTTTATCTCTAAAATGAGACTAATGAGAACACTGTCTTGTAGAAGAACCATGAGAAGTGAGATATTTATAGGCAGACAAAGAACTTAAAACAAGTTCTCTGCACAAATTTCAGCATTGTGATGGCTAACTGTGACTCTGTTGGGAAGCTTATACATGGCAGTCTCAAAAGTTAGTGCCATTGCTCTCGGGTGCCCAGCGGAACTTGATGGTAAAACCCTGCAGCTGAAGACACTACACACTTTGGTCACGACATGGAGAAATCAAGTTGATACTGACCCAGAAAGCCTTCTTCCTACTGGGTTAGCTTTCATAGTACTGGAAGATGCTGTGTAAGCTCCTGGGGGTGGGGCAGTAATCAATAGTCTTACCCAACTCTGGAGCCTGAAGCCTGTGAGCTATAATAAAGATCACCATGGCAAGCTACACCCATGTGCACAATAGTGGCATGAATGTTATGGAGTGTTGTGGTTTGAAAGAAAATGGCCCCCAAAGGCAGTGGCACTATTTGGAAGTGTGGCCTTATTGGAGGAAGTCTATGACTGTGGGGACGAGCTTTGAGGTCTCTCTTGTTCAAGCTTCCCTGTGTGGGACAGTCAGGTGACTCCCTACTGCCTTCTGGTCAAGATGTAGCACTCTCAGCTCCAGCACCACATCTGCTTGCACACCTCCATGAGTCCCATCATGATAATAATGGACTAAACCTCTGAAACTGTAATCGAGCCACCCCAATTAAATGTTTTCCGTCTAAGAGTTGTGTGGTCCTGGTGTCTCTTCACAGCAATGAAAACCCTACGACACAGTGGTAATAATCAACAACTTTCTGGCTCAGCTTCAGGCCCACGGGAGGTACTGTAAATCTTGCCAAGGACCCCTGGTTGGGATTCACCAGGAGGTGAACTTACTACTATTATTTTGCTAAATAGACAAACTGGCCTCTATATTCTCTCTCTTCCCACAGATTAGTGCTGCTGTCAGATTTCATCAGATGAGTTTTTCTTGTACAGCGGATGGAGATTAATACAGAAACTACCAGCTGGCCAAAGTACAGATACATGTCAGTAGATGCTCAGCTATAGATGGGACATATCTATCACCATCATCCACCAAGGCTCAGGCACCATTGTAGAGGAGAGGACAGAAACCAGAGGTTTGAAAGGATCAGAGTGAAACAGTATCTTCTGGACACCCAGGCCCAGAGAACTCCCAGGCAAATGTGTGCCTGCACAAGACCTGTGTCAACATTTGAACACACAGCAGGGAGGAGCACAAGAGCCCCCACCTCTAATGGAGGAGCCTCTGACACCCAATAGCTTCTAAGGAAGGGAGAGATGGTTTTAAGGGTGTGGTCTCTAATAGGTGAATCACACTCCAGTGGGAGGCCCCACCACATGATATAGGGGCAGCACAAACTGAACTTGGAGGATTATTTAAAAAGAGAAGGGGGGGGGACACAAAGTTGGAGGGGTTGAGGAGGAAGGGATGAAGATTGAAGGAGGGGAGAGTAAATCTCGGAGCTGTTAGGGAGAGGAGCTGTAGATGAATATAATGAAAATACATTAAATAATTGTATGAAATTCTCAAAAAAATATATTCTAAAAGTACTTAGGTACTAAGTTAGATAATACAAGTTTAATGATTATTCTTACTATGATTATCAGTGCTTACTACACTGGGTAGGGACTGTGCATGGAGCCCATGGCACAGCATGCGCTGTGCATGCGAGAGGTCGTGGGCTTGACCCACAGCACTAC